CAAAACGATTTTTTGACCACAGCCGCCGATTTTTCGAACACCGCTGCGCGCACCAATTCAGGCGGCCATGCACCCTTTCCAAGTAAGCTACAACCTGCCTCCTTCCCGTGTGTTTTGGTTTCCAAGGTCGCCCTCCCGCCGCATCCTCTCCTTTCTTTATCACAACTTCTTGCCCTTCTCTCGCAAGTCTGCTCTCCTCTCTAGATAACAACCCCTTCGCCCGTCTACACCGCTCTGCGATGCCCACCACGCTGGCTCGAATTTGTTTCGTTTTCTGACTGGAATTGGGCCCAGAGCTGTTCCACACGATCTGGCACGCGTGTCGCGTGTGCGCGACTTGCTCGCTCTTGGTGTGCGTGTGTGGTCATGACGGCCGAAGGGAGGACTAGCATGCTTTTTCCTGCCACTCAACAGAACGTCGAAAGTGCGACCGCTTGGCTTCAGCGTAATCCGCGTGTTAGGTGCCGCGTTGCGGAGCGCTTGCTCATAGCTGTTGACCACCTGGGAGCCAACTTGCCGCTTCGGGCGTCCCGGTATTCAGCTGTGGAGATGGTGAATATTTCGTGGGCGGTGGTGACGACTACATGCATGCGAAACTGTTTTCGCAAGGCCGACTACATCGACGTCGGGCCCAATGCCGAGCCTGAAGCTTCCCAACTGCGGCGATGGTTTGTGGTAGCACGTCGTCAACTCCGACCTGGAAGAGCGGGTGGGACATCTATTGCGATAGTTTAATTACAGCCGATAGTGATGCCGACACTGCGGAACCGTGCACGGATTAGGGCGAGCGTACTCAAGGCTTAGCGTCATGGACACCATCTACTCTCCTAGCCATAGCGCCTGGTAAGCTACGTGGCACTGCTGCAGATTGGACAACCGTGGCAGGAAACCAGTTGGACATGTGGGAGAATTTCAAAGCTGCGTTTGAGAACCAGTTTGGAGAAAATTATGCTTTTGCAGTGGCAGCATATAGTCACTAGACGCGTACAGTCACCCAGTGAGAGCCTTGTTGACTACTCTTTGGCGAAACGGCGAAATTTCAAGATGTCCGATTCAATTAACAGATCTTCAGTGCATATTATAATTATGCCTTACAGGGTGTGTGCGACGCACACTTGGCAACAACTATCGCTGCACAACAACCACCAACTGTGAGTGCATTTCTTGCCTTCGCCACCCAACTTGACCAAACTATAGAGCATGCCCTTGCTTTTCCGAGCCAGCCTCCCATCACAGCCGAAACATCAATGTCACAAGCGCCTCCCGTGCCTGTGCAGCAGAATAGTATTACGGGTGACAGATCTTCTTCACCAATCAATCTGGCTCAGTCACCAGTTTCATGTAGAATTTCTTCGCTACCCTTAGATCAACAAGACACTCATTATCTTGCAATTATTTCCCAAAATGGCGCACCTGCCTATGCCCCCAGGGAAGATAAGCAAAGCCATATGTTACAAGTGTCGCCAACCAGGTCAACTTGCATCGAAGTGCCCCTGCTCGAGAACCAGTGCCCCGCTACTTAGCCAGCAAACAAGTTTTCTCTTCCTGGCGTGCCTTCAACCTTCAGAACCATTTGAAGGATCTCTTGTGGTGTGCGCTGTGATTCAAGCAGACTTTCCACTTATAGGCACTGTAGACGCATTTCCGGACAGTTTTTCAAAGCGCACCATACTATCGCTAGACATCATTGAATTTGCTAACCTCCTACCATGGATCAAAACTCCCATATCTGTTGTAGGTGGCGGTATCGTCATGCCAGCTGGTACATTATGTACTCGTATCGCTGTGGGGGCCTATTTCAGCAGTACTTGAAGTTCTAGTCCTGGCTAGAAACCCCTTGCCTTTAATCCTCAAAAAAGACTGGTTTGAGGCCGCCTGCACTGAGCTCCTTGTCCGACCGCCTCATCCAACAGAAATCCACCACCGTAGGACGGGTATTGTCATGCGACGCCTGGAAAAGGTGCTACCACGGATGTTCAATGCCAGTTGTGCTGTCAAGCAGCCCTGTGTCTCATTTTAAGCAAGCTGTGTCTCCCACAGGCTGCTTGCAGTTTTTGCAGTTGCCGGACAAAAACCAGCCCATGTGGTTATCTCTCAAACACAATGAAGTTTTGCCTAGAAAGCAGCCACTTCAACCAAAGACAGCAACACTTTGCACAAATGATGCTAGGTTGGACAAGCTACGTGACGCTCAAATAGGTCCACAGCTGCAAAAAGAAGATATGGCAGTTCAACACGTCTTGCGTCAGCATATTGACCTCTTCGCTACTGATGACAATGACTTGGGCCTATGCAAAGGGACAGAACACGCCATTGAGCTTGTGCCGGATGCAACGCCATACGCCAATCAACCATGTAGACGTGGCAAAAGGATCGCAATTTTATAGAGCGTCAATGCCAAGTGTTTCATGCTCAGGGCTCAGTCACCAAGCCTGCACAGCTAGAACAAGGACTGTAGCAGGTAGCAAGCAGGCTGGTGCACGCCAAAGAATTGAAAACAAAGAAACAACGGGACGCCAATACAAGTATATGCGCCATGGCAACTTGTCAGTTCCCTGGATAAGCTTTGACAGCGCCTCAGGCATAAGATTGAGACTCTTCGAGGTAAAAGACCTGCAGAATGTAAGCGCAAGAACAACAAACAAGCCACCAAGTCAGCTGCTAAGCCAACCCAGAATAAGCAACACAAGCTCAGTCAAGAAAGCCTAGCTGCTACAAGCAACCCAGAAACAACAAAAGGCACCACAGGGTGCAGCTGCCTTCTACCGTGACAGCTACATCATCTGCAGTAAGCTTGAATTGACCGACCCATCATCTAGTACAAATGCGCAGCCTTACATCGAAAAGGAGGTTGTTCATCAACCGGAAATGAAGGCAGAAAAGGTGAAGCACCTTAAGGAATGTGAAATGCGCCATGCAAAAGGTGCTCCGGAGACGCGAAAATGCCACTGCTCTCAGTACAAAGAAGAATAGATCAAGGTCAGAGGTGACTATACTTTGAGAAAGGCATCGCTGAAGTTGTGCGAGAAGCGGCAGCAGAAGAGGCGCAAGAAGTGGGATTCAAACACTGAGAACATCAAGTAACCTCAGATAGAGTGTCACCAGAAACGTCGGGACAACATCAAGGCACGTCAATAGGCCAAGCTTTAGACCAAGATGAAGAGCCTCAAGAATGAAAACCACATTGTTCCAGGATTCGCAGACCATTTAGATGTTTTGGTGACTGCAAGACTATGAGACAAAAAAAAAAAAAAAAAAAACGGGGTGGGATGTGATGTAAAAAGCCAATCGTGCATTTTACAAAAAAAAAGGGGGGGGGGGGGGGGGTTGGGTGTGAGACAGCAAGTAATCTGGCAGCCCTGTGCTACATGTTGATCAACTCTTGACACCGTTTCGTAGCTGTTCCTACGCGAGCGCATGCTCCATGACTGCATTGATGTCGTAGCTCCTAATTATTAAAGTCGTTTTTCGCCTTATCGCCGCCTTGTCTACGTTGCCGAGTCCTCACAATATACATTGAACTAGAGAAGAAAATTGTGATAAAATGTTGGCGAATGCACTTGAACCATAGGCACGACCAATGCGCCTCAGACTAGGTTGGCTAGAGGCTTGGCTCGGCCGGAAGCCACAAATGTTTCCAGCTACAATTTAAAATTTATGATTGATGATTTGGTTGATATGTGGGATTTATTGTCCTGAAACCACCATATGATTATGAAAGACGTAGCGTAGGGCTTCGGAAATTTTGACCACCTGGGATTCTTTAACATGCACCAAAATCTGAGCAGACGGGCCTACAACATTTCCGCCTCCATTGGTAATGCACAATTTAAAATTATTGCTGCCTTAGGGTGCAGAAAGCGGCTTGACCAAGTTTATTGTCAGCCCACATACGCAGATAAAGCTTACTTTATGCAGCCCATTCCAACAAAAAAAATCGCAGAATATTCACAGAGTGAATGATGATAGGTGGGGCGAGCTTCAGAGAGCTTTATTGGTAAACCGTGAACCGTCTATCTGTTCGTCCGTCCGCACCTGCTGAGTGAGTAAACGAACTAGGCGGTCACATACGAGCTAAGAAGGACAAACCTACGGCTTTAGAAGCTTCGCCTCTAAAAATGTCACTGATTTTGTCCACTGTAAACAACAGTACATTGTATCCCGGTTTGCTAAAGCGAAGTTGGAATTGTTGATTTCATAAACAGGCCAAGCTTAGGTTGAATAATGTCCCATTGTTTCCGAAAGTTTGTTGTACGCAAGTTCGTCATAATGAGCATTGACTTAATAGGTATGCTTGAGTGATGTGCGAAAAATAAACTATATTTTAAAGTCTGGCTTCCTATCTCGTCTTCTCTTTTTTTTTTTTTTGTGCTCAACTGCACCTGAAATATTTTGTCGTGAGCACAAGTGACCCCTCCAAGAATGCACTGCTGAGGGAGTGACTTTCTGTGCTCTTGTGATGCTCCCCGTCTCTGATGGTTCCCTCCAACAACGGGGTAAGGAAAAAGCCGAAGGGGAAGCCCTGCCTTAGCGAGTATACGCCACTGCCTCTCACCTCCTGAGTTGCAATGCCCGACAAGCTGTGGAGAGAGGCAGTGAGAATCACCAAGAACATTGGTGGTAAAGCACTAACTACAATGTGCCTACTAGCTGATTGTTCTTCATCACGTTGGGAAGTATGTGCATTGACCAAGTACACATGTCATATTTAATGGCGGATGCCATCTTGACCTTATACTCCGGCCACAGGGCTAGTGTGCCACTACTGGGACAAGAAGAGGATGACGATTACGGGCAACTTGTTAAAGGACATCAAACAAATCAATGTGACAGTTGTATGATTGCTGTCGATTACTGTTTGATTGTACCAAAAGTCATGCAAATACAGACCCCATTTTAAAACATGGACGAAGGAAGCACTGTCATGTTCTCATTTCATAGGTATCCTCTCAATTACTATAATGTAATTTATGAAAGATCCGGTGAAGCATGCTACTGACCTTGTGGTCTGGTGGTAAGGGACACCAGGCGGCAGCCCAGATGGCACCACCAGGGTAGAAGGTAACGTGAGAGTCCCCTGACTGGGGCGACAGGCACCCGAACAAGGGCAGCCGCTGCCACTTGGCTGGCACGGAGGGGGCATGCCCCTCTGCACAGGAGCTCTGCTGCAGGGCAGGACTCTCCCTGAAACGAGGCAGGCAGGCCTCCGCGTGGCTGGGGCACATAGATCGCAGTTTCACCATTTACAGCACTTCCAAATCAAATGGTGTCATGCTAAAAGACACATAGGAAGGAAGCCTCCTTTCCTGTGTCTGTGTTTGCTTTCCCTGTCATTCATGATGACAAGTAGCTTCATCATTTCAAGATTTCAAATCAAAATCAAAATCAAATCTTTATCAAATTGAGACCAATAAAAGTATGCTGAATAACTAGGCCCAGATGGGCTTCTGCCAAACTTCAGGAGTAGAACTAATTACAAGTAACTAGGAGTAAATTTCAACTAAATTAATGTAATTATGCATAATGAGTATGTAGAGGCAATTATTTGACCTTTAAAATATTTTTATATTCGTGTTTGCCACAAAGTTTGATTCATACTAAAATTTGATTACAGTTGAACCCCCTATAACCATATAACTACAATGATGTATCAATTGGAATGACCATATTTTGGTTCCGTTATAATTTTCCTATATCACTACCCATTGAAACTGTGCCCAAATACAGTGAACATTTTCTAAAAACTCCTACTTTGATGTAGAACAGTTTCGACATAGTCATGGTAAAAATATGGCCCAAACGAAGCAAAAGAGAACATGAAGCAGGCATTCTAAAGCACATGAGAGATGCACGCGCACAGTGCACTGTTGCATTTTATTCCCAACGAAAATATCATAGACCATGGCGAGTCCTGCATGCAGATTTTCTATGCTGCGAGCAAGTTCGCTTACTTCCCAGGCGTTCCTTCACTGATAGAATGACAGAGAGAGGGGAAAATAAAAAGCTGCACAAAGACTAACTAGCTTTTGCACAGCAAACTTTTTTGACGTCATTCTCTGCCTCTATGACCACCAACGATTAACAATGCCTTCTAATGCAAGAAGCCATGAATGCAAGAAGCGATAATTTTTGTTTTATAAAAGCTCATTGTGATGGCCATTACAATAGAATGGGCAGATGCCCCATTCAATCGATCGAATAGATACTAAACAGCCTCTGAATGCTGTGGATTAGAACAAATTTTAGGCGCTTGAGCCCAGAGAATCAAATTAGCCTGTTTTGTGCCTAGCTTACTCAATTCCATGCCTATCGCTTAGGAAAATCGCCACCATACGACTCGTCAAAGTGCAACACCCTCAAGCGTCCACACAATATAATAACACAAATAAAATGTTAAAGTCATTTCACTCTTCAATCTCAAGCTATGAAAAACAACGCCTGTAAATATCGGTGTTCAGCTTAATAATTCTGTATTTTTCATATGTTCAAAGCATTTCTGAATTCTCTAAGCTTGATAGAGTGCCATCTCGATACAAGAATCTAAAGAAGCCACTAAAAATCATTCGTTAATTTGAAAAGTTGTAGTGAAAGTTGAAAAAATTTGCAGAATAGTTGTAAACATGACAACATGAATCACTTATGTGTGCCTTGTATACAATCGGCCCTAATAACTGTGAAACAACAAACAAAATATTATGGAACCAGTGCTCGTTTATTTGAGGAAGAGTGTGATCTATCTTGACGTTAGCAGCTCGACTGCTGAAAGACAAACTCTTAAGCGTGCACATTCTTGTTCACATTGCAAAGCATCGCTGTTAAATACCGATTTTTCCCGTTGGCTCACCCACACTGTTTCAGCGTTGTTCTGTTCACCATTTCCTTATGACAAACGGTATTAATCTTATCGGTCTTTAGCTAAGCTCATGTGCATGCTTAGTCATTGCCGTAGTGTTTGATCCAGAGGTCACTGTTGATGATTCTACCACCAATCAAAAGGCTAGAAAATAGCCATGTAACAAGTGCACAGGTAAAGCTGCCTGACGAAAACAAAGACAACAAGGCAAAGCCTGACTCGAAAAACAAGGCGATGGCAATACGGCTATCGTCTATTTGAACAGGGCGTGCACATAGAGAAAAACATAGGCGTTCTGATGATGATGATGATAGTGGCAGCTACGAATCTGGGCATCATTTTCACAGCCACAGTAACTTTTTATATAACTATTTTAATGATTAGCGATTTTTAAAAGTGAATAGTGAAGTGTTGTGGAGATATAGGATGGATAAAATTTGATATGTTATTCCGAAACATTCGGCATTCTAAAATTCGTAGTAGTGAAATATTTTTACATTAGACCAATGGACATTTGGAGGGGGATTTTTGAAAAAGTTGGCAATCTTAAAAGATCATTAATCTGAGGTTTGCCATAATAAGATTTGACTGTATTGGGTTGCACGTGATGTAATTTATGGCTTGCAACGAGAGTGACCGCCATATTTAAGAGCACTGAGTTGGGCTGTGCGTTCAGCTAACAGTTTTATCGGAACTCGTTGGCACCGTTCGATTTATATTGAGCCACAAGGCGAAAGCAAACATGCACACTCTTTGCCTGTCATACCTTGAAGAGCTCGTGGCCTAACTAGGGTACATTACCGAGCTAAGATTGAAATGTGCGATGGCAGTGACCCTTACGAACTGCACATCGATAAGACGCTGCACGAAACATCGATGTTCTGTGGCTATTGTGGCCGCATTTGCGCCACGCCCCATTGTACATAGCCGCAATGTCATCCCCGCTAACTTCCCTCACTGTCCGCCCCCTTCACCCCGCAAGATTGGCGCAGATGGCATCTATTGCCGCATCACGAACTTTCGGGCTGATGGCTGTAAAAGATTTATGATGAATTTTTCAAGAATTGCCGCAAATCAGACCAGCTGCTCGTAGTCCATTCCTACAGAGCGCAACGCCACAACTGGCTATCGCACGAGCTACGGCTTTTTCAATCCACAACAAATATAAACACACGAGAAAAGCGTTATATAGCTGTGCTGCTTGGCGAAACACTGATAGGCTTCACAGCATATACAGGTGTGCAACAGCCAAGGGCAGTCCATGATCTGTACCACATGATTTAAAAGCCAGTAGCAAAGCACACGCTTTTTTGTATTACTACTTGCACTGCAGCAGCGCAGGAAACCATCATTATTTGAAGAATGAGGCCTGGCTCTTTGCCTCATGCGATCGATTGGTGATTGATCGATTGATATGTGGTGTTTAATGTCCCAAAACCACCATATGATTATGAGAGACGTCGTAGTGAAGGGCTCCGGAAATTTCGACCACCCGGGGTTCTTTAACATGATGATGATGATGTTTGATGTTTTGTGGCGCAAGGGCCATTTCACGGCCAAAGAGTGCCAGTTCACCTTACTAAAGATATGGACAATGATTGTGATAAGCGGCTGTATAAAGGCCATAAAATTCCTCGCGGTAAGGCAGGTAAAAACATACAAGTAATAAAATCATGACCATGCCGTGAAAGGTGTGTGTGGTGTGAATAGATGACAAAAGTTGGTGATAATAAAAAACTATGGTGGACATGTATGGCATTAGCACAAGTGCCTCACTCGTTCATACCCTTGCGTCCAAGGGCCGTGAGGCAAGTGCTTTGTTGAGTGTAGTCACCGCAGCGAAAACCTCTCTGGAGAGGGCGTGCTACGGAATGCCCGGGTGTATGATATGAAAACTACGAATTTCTTTTTAAGCCTGTTTTGCTCCTACGATATCGAGACGGGAGTGTCAGCAGCTATCCGAAGTGCGGCGCCCTTTCCCCTTTGTTTCCGACAGCTGCCGCTGAGAATCGACTAATGTAGGGTTCGAGGCTATTTTCTACGCGCTCGCGTGTTTGAACTCCTATTGCCCACAATAGTACAGTAAAACCCCGTCAATTCGAAGTCACTGGGGCCGCGAAAAATCTTCCAATTAGTGGGCTTTTGAAGTAACAGAAGATTCAAAAAGTGGGATGCAAGGAACTTGGCACTGTTCAATGTAATATCAGTGCTCATCGTTTGCTGTGCCGGCTAGTTTGCGGCTCCAAGGGTTATGTTTTCCAGCAATGCCTGGTCTTAATGTTGTCATAAACACGGAGGAACGATGAACCTTGCTACTGCCACCAAAAAAAAAAAAGAAAAAGATGGTGATGTGATCAACCGAAATTGCCACCTGCGGAAAACAAGACATTTTCACTGCAACACAATAATGACACAGGGGCAGCATGTTGCCTGCTCCTTGCTGTCTCAGCACGTCATGATGTGACCATTCCCACATTCCTTCTGGTATAATTAGGAATTTAGGTATGGCCAGTATGACTAATCTCACGATGTGCTTTGGCTGGCGAAAATCGAATTTATTTTCGAAGTAGGTGTTGCTGGCAAGAACTCCGCCTGCAGTGCAAAGTGCAAATAGCTGGAGCAACCACCAATTGGAGGTTCACCTCCATCACAAAATCCGCCAAACTGTCCTCTAATAGACGGGTGTTGAAAAGCTCCCTTTACCACGACAATGCGGTACACGCACTAACTATAAAATACGCCCGAGTGGACGTGCATAGACGTTTTGCCTATCGAGGAAGGAGAAACTTTAAGGCAACTGCGAGCACGTGCAACAGGCACTCATCGGCATTTTTGCCATTTACGATCTGCGTCCTATAAAAAGACTGCTTAATGTGACGTCAGCTGTAAAGTTCAAGTTAGCGTGGATTGAGTTTGGCAAAGACGTCGATGGGTGTCCCAATTGCATGCACTTGCAAGTACCCTGGAGTTCTGTGTTCTTAGATAGGCAAAACGTTCATGCAGGTCTAGTTAGGTCTAGTTAACATCACCTAGTTAGTGTGTGTGGATACCAGTGGTTCCACATTGTTGTTTAAGGAGGGACTTTTAATTTCTTTACAATCCCAAAAAGAATAGGTAAACTGATGACCCTTCTGATGCTGCAAGAAACATGCAAAACTTGATTATTCGCTCACGGATGCACAGACGATTTTTTGCTCACAACCAACAGGGCCGACGCCAGCAGCGGGTTTTCTGCCACACGAGCTCTTTAACGTTATCGCGTTAATATGCTGCTCGCACTGTGCTGCAGTACACTGAAGCACATTTCGTTTTTTGCAGGCGAACGTTTCGGTTGACCACGAGACTGTTTATTTTTATTTCT